CTTCACGTTTGCAAACTGTGCACTGAAACCACAGTGCAAAGGTCTTTGTGAGCAGCTGGTTACGAGTGAGTGATGATGATTTCATCATGCCAAACAAGAATTCCTTGCAGCGTTGGTCTGCATTAACTCTTGGGTGAGAGTCAACTAAGTGCAGCAGTATGTGACATTTTCTTCTCCCTTAAAAGCAGCGTACAACAGAAAGTGATAGTGCCAGAGTGTCTGAACTCCAAATCACAATAAAGAGCAAATTAATTACTAGTAGTACTAGAGCTTCTATTTTTAGTGATGCCAGGACTCAAATGTTAATTGTCTCTAACTTTTAAAGACAGTTTATGTTACTTTTAATCTCTTGCATGTCCTTACAGTTGACAGCCCTTTTTCTCAGGATAAGGAAGTTTTTTGAAACAAGCCAGAAAAATGAATCTGGTGCTTGTTCTATATACTATAAACAATTTCCTCCTTCCATTTTTCATTGCGTACAGTGAAAACAGATTAAGATAATTTAGATTTATATGGCTAGATACTACAGCTTTTTCATATTTGCCTTGTCTGCAAGAGATAAATCAAATGTGGGCTTTTGTCTTCAAGGATTAGTTGTTTATTATATGAATTGCTCTGGAAGTGAGTAGACATAGGTATCATGCAGTTGTTATAACTGTGATTCCAAAGTGTGATTTTTCACTTCTGTATTTCAGTTTTGGGGCGTATGTAATCTTAAACTTTGTTGGAGGAGAGCATGCCTTCAGTGCAGCCGTTTCTCTAGTTGGCTGTGTGGTAATTTCCAGACTAACGGTGTCAGCAACTGAAGCTGTGAGCAATGCTGAGTTTGGCTTTAGACCCAAGTCATGTGAAGTCCTGAATTTCACTGCAGTGGACCATTATTTAGATACAGCCTGCATCACTTCCACCATGGTATGGTGCAAGACAGTGTAGCTTCGATACAACTGACAGTTACACTGAGTCAATAAGCCTTGGTGGTCTTAGCCAGTTCTTTGTAGCGTGTCCCAAAGCAATCAGATGCACAGAATTTACTGTCCCTTGGCACAGTCCGCCCCTTCCACTTGAACGCTGCAGAAATTGCATGTCTATTGAAATACACTCACTTAGGGAAGAGTTCCTAAGTAATTTGTTATTTCTGAATTGTGGTTTTCAATTTTCTTTTGAAGGTACATAAGCATTTTGAAGGATCATAAGCAATAAGTAAGTAAAGATTTGTTAAAAATTTAAATCAAATATCTAATTTCTGCTTGCTCCTAATACATCCAGTTTTCTGCACTTAAATGAGGAGGCATCTCCTAATGCTTGTTCTGTGCCATGTTGACAAATGAAGTGCACCTACACCTCTTTAGAAAGAGTGCGAGGTGCAGCCTACACAGAGAAGCCAGCAGGAAGATACTCAGTTGCAGAGAAGCTGCGTAGGAAAGCAGTTTAGGATGACTCTTAGAGACTAAGATCATTGCATTTTCTATTATCTTCAAATTCCTTCTTCTAAAGTGTGCCTGGAGGCAGTACCTAGTCTCACTGCTGCACAAACAAATGCTTCTGACTCCGCACCCTGCAAGGTAATGTAATCTCCCACTACCTGTGAAAAGTACCAAAATGTATACAAGTATACCAGCCTTTCTGCTTGACCCTTTCAGGTAAAAAGCAGCTGATACTGTCATTTCATATACAGCACGTGGTGGAGACATGCAGATATTTAAGGAGAGTGTGTTTTATGCCACTGCAAAAGAACTGATTAAGGTTGATATAATTTCTCTATCTTCTACTTCTGTTTTAATTTTAACGCTTGTTAGTCTCTCTGCCTAGTATCTTTTCCATTGGGACTGTAGATCCTTGCAATATTAGATGCTTGCCTATTCAGGAAAATATTTTCCTCTTTATTTTACGTGGACTCTTAAAGTCATGTAATAATGCTTGGAGAATTCGCATTACATCCCCCATAAAAGCTGACAAGATATCGATGGAAGTGTTCTACTTTGCTCACTTATGTTGATTGAACTATTCAGCAAATTGCTGGTCTATTTGTTGAAAGTGAATGTTTCTCATCTGTAGCTTTTTTTAGAAGTAAGTTTTCTGTAAACAAGCAAGTGTGATGCCCCATGCAAGGTATGACTGTACAATACACTCATTTGAACAAATGGAATGTAAAACGTGCTCACCCTTTGGAAAAAATGCTGATTTTTGTTATCAGCGCTACTGCTGCATTTGTGATGAGCTGGCTTCTGAGTGCCCGAATTGGACAACTACTTCCCTCTGTCACTGCAGTGCACATAACAAAAGCAAATTCTGGAAAGACCAATGTGATTTTGCCTTGGCTGGTGTTCTTGTAATGTTCGATGTTCAAGCATGTTGGAATGGCATGTATCTTATGCAAGCCCATTGATATTGTAGAACCTAGTGCCACTTTAAGCATTTTCATCCCTTCTAGCACACGTATGTGCAGCTACCACTTGTGTAAGAAGAGTTATAAAGCAACGTGGTCGCTCTCTAATGGCTGGTGGTGCAGCATAGCTGGCAGGTGGGTGGGAACAGTGTCCTTGTGAGCTTTCTGTGGAGTTGTGGTGGTTGTGTTAGCAGAGGTCAGTGTTTGCCTTTGATGCCAAGAGGGCTGTGAGGGGGAAGAGAAGTGCAAATGCTCACTATCCCTGAGCAGCTCCAGATGATATAAAGGTGAGATGTCTGCATAGGTTGTGCTCTTGCACTGCTGCTGGAGTTGCACCAAGGGGATGAAATTGAAGGCCTTCCTGGCACACTCTAGTTCTATAAAGTTCAAGTCAAATTTTTGGCGACTTTGTTCAGTAGAGATCACCAATGTTTAGTCACACCTGGAGAAAATCTGGTTGTTGTGAGGCGCTGGGTGGGTTACAGGACAGGGCAACTTAACAGCCAGCAACAGTAAGTGCAGGGAGTTCTCTGAAAGCTGTAGGGGATTTGAGGTTGAGTAACTGAGAAAAGAATGTAGCATTATTTCTTGGCGGAACTTAGGTGCCTTTTGAACTTGGCCTTCAGTCACTAACCGAAACACCAGGACTTCAATTAGGCGCACACAAAAGTTTTAGAAATAATAATTATTCCATCTTTTGAACTCTTGATGGCATGCCTGGATGTGGCTTAGTGCTGTGATTGACTGGAAGAAACATTCCTTAGCAAAGGCAGCTTTATATGATGAAAAAAAAAAAACAGGTTATTAAAGCTGAATTTAACATCTATACCTAGAGAAGTTTGATGCTTGGATGTCTGATCTGTGCACTAAAAGTACGGGTTAGATACTCGTTCTGTATACGATACTGAAAATATGGAAACATATAATGTTAATTAGAAATTGTCACCACTCTGTGCCCCAGTGTTTTTCCTGGTGTTGCATACTGTACTACGCACAACTGTTTTAATATTCCAAGAAGTACTAGCATGAATACTCATTGTAAATGGTTTATATTTGGCCTAGGTTATAAGCTGTATTTCTTAAATACTTTTTTGACCTCTTCATACGTATGTTCTCTCACAAGGTAAGATGGGAGCGTGTGTTATTCTAGGAAAGTTAAATCTTCCACTGCTTCTGAATAATCTCGCTGTTCAAAGGTTTGCATTTTGCTTAGGAAAATCTGGAGCACATAAGGAGAAGACAGAATTTACGGTAAAATAACGAGTGTCTGGGATTGAAGTCTACCTTTATATTACTATCTTGTAGTTCTACAATACCGCTGGGTACATTAGGGAACACTAGTTTATGACAAGCTTTAAAAAAACTGCGACAAAACAGCTTGTTTGATCAGCTTGTTTGATCAGGTGATAGAGGAAGAGAATATTTGCTTGTGAAAATTCTTCTCTTTTTTCTGCTTGTCCTTGCATTTTGTGTATTGAGTTTAGAGATAAGGGATTATTTTCTGTCTGTTTATAAGCTATCTGCCTTTTGTATTTCTAATGATGTGTACCTGGGCCTCCACATGATGTGGAGACACCTCGTCATGTACTTAGAAAGTTGTAGTATTTTGAGCAATTAAATATGTTTGGGGACCTATACTAATAGATAATATGAAAGGGACCAAATTATAGCTCCCATATATGACTTCTCTTTTTAATGAATATTTTAAAACATGCCCTCAAGATAAACCGAACAAAAAAAAAATTGCAGAAAAAAAGTAAGTAAAAATAACCACCACACATACTTAAATCACAAATCCAGTTTCCCTTCAGCAGAGATATCTTTGATATCTTCAAGTGGCTTAGTCAAATACCAGGATCACGGAATATAGTATTCATGTACATCTGGCTGTCAGACTATTGGTTGGAAGGCGATCTTCTGTAGGTCATTCCGAAAGTAATACCTCTTATTTCCAAGGAAACGACAACTATGAAGAGCACAATAGGACTGACAGAGAGAACTCTCAGCTACAAAATGCCATTTTTCAATGTGATCATTACCATTAGTTCTGCATTTTGACCAGTGGTGTGCCAGGGTCTGCAAGTCATTCATCCTTTAAAAAATAATAATAATAATAATAATCTAAACCAGCTGAAGGAATGCACTGTTTCCCAAATGCTATGATGGTGTTGTTGTTAAGTGAACATTGTCCACACAGCCCAACTTTCAATGCATTAGTGTTTTGTTTATTGTCTCCATAAATGTTCGGCAAGAAATAATGTCAGTGGTTGCAGTGTTTTCCATGTGAAAGTATTCACAGAGACACCTTTGCTTTATATGCTCTTCCTTGTCAGATGCTGTTCTGTCAGGCTGCCCCTCTGCTGCTATCTGTTGCGTGGCAACAAAATGCAAGAGAAGGTTCAGCCTTTACTGCTGTACTACCTCTTACTCTGTGGGCTGACATAATGAAATAGGACATTACTTTCAGAGCAGTTCTTATACACACATACATCCCTTAAAAATCTCCTCTAACATATATGTAAAACATTGAAAAAAAAATAGAATACGTGAGTACTTCTCATTTTCGGAAAGTAACAAAAAAATAAGTTTGACTTTTTTTTCTTCCTCCTCTCAGGTCCACACCGCTGTCCTACCTGATCACAAGGAGCCAAGAACAGATGTTGGAGTAAGCAATTTTTGTATATTAATGGATTTTTCACCTCATCAAAAGACGCAGACGTAAAGGAGAAATGGCATTTTGTTTAAACTGCTAAACAGGAGCTGGCAAGCTTGGTTTTTTAGAAAAAGTTGATTTAAGTGAATAATGAATCAAGGGAGGGGCAACGTACTTGGTGATTGATGTCATCCCATTCACTAATTGTTTCCAGTTGAAATTATCCTGAGGCAAGCACAGCTACCTAGACTTCTTGCTACTTGCCATATAAGCCATCTGGATGGAAAGCACAGAATTGCATTATCTGAATGAGCCTTGCCAGTCTCTTACTCATTTTCACATACAGAGTATAAACAGTGCGGAATATAAATAGTCCTGCCAGTCTGGTCTGTTTTTGGCAAAGGTATTGGGATTTCTTTTTAGTTTTTGAGAAAGCTACAGTCTCCCAGATAATATGCAGGTTATTGGGGGTAGGAAACATTAGTCCTGCTAGAGCTGAATAAAAGACCAAACAGGATGTGGGGTTTTTACGTTTTGAGTCTTAGGTGCTGAGTTTCCTGCATTATCAGGGCTTCCTTAGCAGAGTTTCCAGCACTTCAGATAGTGTTCAGTAAGCCTGTGACTTGGCAGCGCTTACAGGCTTAGTGAAATAATCGACGTGTTTCATCTTCTTAGGTAACTATTACAGAGACTTTTCTCTTTGGCTAGGTGGGATAATTCATCAAACTAGTCAAGACTCATATTTTCAGATATATAACCATAAGTATTCCACTAGCAAAATTATGTTGGAATATTGCTCTGTAATTAGAATTACAGCAGCTGTTTTGTTTAAAGTCTAATTTTCAAGTGCAAAGTTCAATTGGTTTGTAGACTGCTCGTTTAGGCCTCCAGGGTACACAATTTGTCTCCAAATCAGTTCAAAAAAATTTATGTCCAGCATCATTTGAAATTATACTCCTTAAACTCTGCATTTTGGTCATGGAATTATTCACAAGTGTAGTTAATTTTGCTAATAATTCCTAATTGCTTTGCTGGATAAAGGAAGCTTTGTTATAAATAAGCATAAGAATAAGAGACAAGCAAATAAATGGATTCATTGTTTTTTAACCCCATAAAATTATTCCACTTCAATTTTGTGAGTCTGGAGAGCTAGTTGAAGCGCTCAGAGATGGTTAGTGGATATAGTGCCCAAAGCTCCTAGATTATGTGAAAGGATTGTGTGGTCACCTCTTAACCTTGATCGTATGAGGATTCCTACTATGGATTCTGCAATGGATTTGTAGTCTGTTGTACCGGAAAAAGAAGTACCAAACTTGTATCAGTTTTCTTTGTGCCACCACAGTTTAACAGAAAAAATGCTGTCATGACTGATCTAAAGGAAGATGGAAATGTCTGTGTGTCTACTCTAGCAAGACTGTGCATCACACCTGGATGTATTGCTAACAAGTGTATGTTTCACTTGGCAGTGAAAACTAACCATGATCTTGTGTAACTGTCATTTTTCATGATAAATTTTGTATATGCTTTTATTTTGGCTTCTTGCCTGTCCAGTATTTCCCAAATCCACTGTTTTCCCAGCCTTCCTTAGACTCTTAGCTTCCGTCGTTTTTCCTCTTCTAGTTAAGTGCCAACCAAAACAAAGGAAATGTATTACTACCTATTTTAAGCCTGTATTTGTGATAGGAATAAGCCGTAACAGTTGATCTAGCTTATCAAGTTAAGTCTGGTGTTGTGGCTTACGTGAATTGGGGATTGGGATTTAAACAATATGCGTGGAAATGTATCGTAGTATAGATAAAATAATGCCTGTATTATTATATAATATCTATATTGAGGTCTATACAAGAAATGTATAAATGTGTATTTATTGCGATATGTAAATATTCAATATTTAGCTGAGCTTTCTTGAAAGAAAACAGACTGTAAGGTTCTTTTTGTTTATTTTTGTTGCTGTTTTTTAACCAGAGGAAGATGTTTACTCAGTAGTAACAAATCCTCATTTTCCCCGGGTTTGCAGTTGGGCTCTGCATCTTGTGTGTTGATTTTACATAAGAGCAACTTGATTATTCTAAAATTTGAAGATCCAAGACTCTGTATAGTTTTCAGTGGTATTTTATTTTGATTTCAACTGTGGAGTGGAATCAAGGTAGAATAATAAACACAAACGTGATTCTTTTAATAGAATTTGCAAAAATACAAAATAAAATAGTTAAAAGTTATTTATGACAAGCAGTATTCAGTTGTATATTGAAAATAAATGCATAGAAGCTGATAATAGACAGTTCTCTCTACCTTTGTTCCTAGGTCAAGGCCAACACTGGTTGATTTGACTAAATCAGATTGTAGTATTAGGTAGTGGAGTATGAGCAGAGGGTAAAAAGTAATGAAAAGCCAAGGAAGATAAGTTCCTCATTAGTTTTTCTTGGACCCATTTCTCCAGCATATTCAGGTCTCTGTGAATGGCTTCCCTTCCCTCCAGTGTATTGACTGCACTGCTCAGCTTGATGTCATCTGCAAACTTGCTGAGGGTGCACTCAATTGCATCGTGTATGTCATTGATGAAGATGTTGAGAAGCAGACCCAAGGCCCTGAGGGATACTGCTTGTGACAGGCGTCCAGGCATCCACCCTGACGTGGAACCATTGATCACAACCGTTTGGTTGCTACCAGCCAACCAGTTCTTAATCCATCAAACAGTCCGTTCTTTAAATCCGTACCTCTCCAATTTAGAGGGAAGGAAGGAAACAAGTATTTACAAACACTGCTATAAACTGGAGAAGTACAACATTTCTATTAAAGAACATTTACTGAACTCACTTCTTAGCAAATACATAGCAAAGTAACTTCATAGTAAATACGTACATGTCAGAGTGGTTCTCAAGAAAGGGAGAAGTTCCTGCCCGTTAAGCCAGTATTTAACAACTTTGTGGTAATCATGTTATGGCTACGTAACAATTTTCTGCCATATAATGTGTTAAATTAGTATGCAGGAATGTTTCTAGGTACCAAGGAAAGATTTGAAGACCAAAAAAGTAACAATTAAAATTTCAAAAATTTCAACAATAGAGAACTTTTTTTTTTTTTTCATTCTGCTTCATTTTGTAGCGAAGCTTCCTGGGCTGTACGACTTTTACAGTAGGAGACTTGGTGAAGTCAAAGGAACAACAGTTGACCCTTACCCTCAGGTAAGTGTTTTCATCTGTTGTAAACCAGATCAAGTAAATAATCCATGGCATTTGATATTCCTGATTGACTGTTTGAAACTCCGTATTCCTATGCTTATGTTAGATATCAGCCTCAAGTACTTATTTTTCTACCATATACTAACACAAAAAGAAATACCAGTTATTTAATTTTATTGGAAACAGTAATTTTTTGGTGTAAGCGTATGGAAGAATTTCAGGGAAGTAGAGGATTCTGTTTCACAGTTTCCATTAGAAAGGAGTACAATATTCTCAGGTTTCGTATGTGTGTCTTAAAGAATAGGCATTGTACAATTTGCTGTTTTAATTACTAGCCATATTTAAAGATGGTGGAGATAATGAGTTAAGTCTTCTCTCAAGTGTGAATTAAGTGCAACATCCTAACCTCATCATTACATGCAGCCAAATGTCAGTGGGGCTTGATGTACAACACTGTTCAGTGGCATAACACTTAACAGCAGGAGAGTCATGACCGATGTTTGAAAACTAGGGTTGTGCTGAATAGATATTTACTGAAGCTCAGTACTGACGAATACAGTTTTCACCTTTAGTGCTGGCTTATGGTTATAGAATATACTAAGATAGGAACGAAAGCTATTTTAAGATAAGGGAAACATTTTAGCTTGTGATGTTTCAGTATGAATTCATTGGATTCAGACACGGTATTGGAGCCAGCCTTGAGTTCACTGTTGAAAGTGCAGTGTTCAGTGGCGTTGTCATAGTTCCATCATGTCAAAGTGTCCTCATTTTGGAAAGGAAACTTTTTGACTTTTTCTATTATTGTACCAGCCTTCTTTTGTAGCATTAATTGTTCGATATATATTTAACTTGTAGGGAGAGGTTAAAGTGCCTTGATGTCACTTCCACCCAAATACAGAAAATGCCACGTATACCAAGAGGGTAACTTGAAATTTTTTTCTGACAAAACGGGGTTGGATAAAATGTGAACTGATGGAAATGTTTACTTCAATAAATACCAATATAATTTTTGTAAAAATTAATTCTTAGAGGATTTCAAATTTTCAAGGTCAGTTTTGCAGTAGTTTAAGTACGTCACCTTTGTTTCTTTGACTTCCTTATCAAGCAATCACTATAAAATAATACATACATGTATGAACTTTTCCCCATTAGAATTCAGAATCTCCGTACAGCCAGTTTTAGCAAGACTCCATCCTGAAATGATTTCGTGGCTGCTTCATGTCATTGTCATCCACCCCAGGAAGTAGATAAATGAGTAAGGTGAATCTCACAAAGATTTGAGGGGAAACTTTATGCTGAAATACTAGAAACAGGGAATGGATTGAACATTGCAGGACTTAATTTATTTATATGGCAATTCTACAAAACATTGTTTATCAGTGAACTTGTTTAAAATCCATGTTGATTGAGATAGACTTGACTGTGGCTCCACAGAATAAACAGAAGGCAACAACATTTTTATACAAGTACAGTAGTTTTGTGCTCACATGTCTCAGAATGTATTGGAGAAAATAGATTTTATGGCAGTTGGTACGTTAGCCTGTACTAACTGCATTTGTTATATATTATGCACTACAGAATGGGGCTTGACTGGAAAACATGCCATTTGCTTTCCAGGCAGTCAGTAGCTTTGTCATTTATAATTAACACTATTATGCAAACACAGTCTGTTTTCTTTTTCTTTCTGTTCTTGAGCCTTTTTTGGGGAACAAGGGTATAGCCATGGGAACCAATTAGCAGGCCTGAATTTGCATATTCACTATGCATTTAGGAGACTTAATGAGAAGTGCATTGGAGGTGAATAACTACTGTTTTCAGTCCCTCTAGCTCACCTGCTTCTTCATTGCTAACTTGTCTCGTCCTTCCTTTCTGGATGCTTGTGTCAGCCTTTTATCACTAGAGATGTTGAAGTGGATGTTTCTGTTGTTAGGGAAGTTCTAGGTAGCTCTTTCTCTCCTCTTAGGTGGAACTGATATTAGCCTGGTGGTCCTCAAGGACTTGGGGTGCTAAGCAAACCCGTCTATATAATAAATTTTCCAATAACATGAAGCAGTTGTAGTTTTAAGCCTGAGGTGACTTCAAGGCAACTTGAAAAGTATCTGGATTTGACTTGGTAAACTAAACAATGATCTTGTATGTAGCACTACTGGAACTACTGCTTTAAGTTTGAAACCTGCTGCTTCGCTTGAAACTACGCCCCTAGGGTTTATGAGATGATGGGACTTGAATTGCTCCAGCATAGGTGGGTGCACACTGACATGGGACTATGGCTGCAGCAGATGGAGTGAGCACTGCAGAAAGAAGGCAGGTTGGACTGAGTGGGAAGGGATAGACTGAAGCATTGCCAGCTTTGCTGTTGAAGCCCACATCCTCTGCTTCCAAATCTGGTTTAGAAGTTGCTCTTCAAACACTGTCTCCTTTATTGGTAATATTTCAAATGCAGATGCCCTGTAGGCAAATATGGGGCAATTGGTGCTCTTTGTCTTTAAATGGCTGCTTTAAATGAAATAACTCATCAGAAATTTTCCAGTTCCACAAGACAACGGGCATAACAGCCAAATGCGGGCTTCTCACACCGACAATTGTTTTACTTATTCTTATTGTTCTATTCCACCTCCATACTGCGTGTGTGTCAGGAAAATCCCTATGCAGGTTTGTCAAGGTGCATTCCGTGTTATACTGAACTCCTGGGGTTCTGTAGTGCATCTTGTCTCATGGCTGTAAGCAATTTGGCACAGGGGCAGTCTTCACTGCAGTGCGTCACTGCAAGCTGCACTTTCAATTTTATTAAACAACAGCAAATAAGCTTTTTTAACCTCATGTATTTTGAAGCTCATTAATTATTTTCCTAATGATCTGCTTAACAGTGTGTGTGTGACATTGTTTGCTGCCTGTCTGAGCAAATGACCTGAAATATATACATGTAATTAATGTGCAGTACTGTTCGTTTTAGTACAAAGTAAAATAACACAGATCTCCATCTTATTTCAGTGATCAGCATGCTTTTTTTTCCCCTACTGTGTAAATCCTGTGTAATTCTCACTTTTAATTATCTTTTAAGCATTATTAATCTCAATACATTGCTTGAAAGTTTTAAATCCATGACATGTCTGTTGTTTGAAGACGGTCATGCACCAGTGGTATTTCAAATGCAGTGTCTTACACAGATTATGGTAGTTTCTCCCTGGACATGCATAGAGTTCTTTCAGTGCAATTACAACTTAATAATACCACTGTTTTATTCCTTTGCACTGTCTTAGAGGTATTATGTTTCACATTTTAATATTACATATGTTTAAGAACAGATCAGGAGTGATTTTGAGAAGACCACCATTGAAAAATTTGGTAGAAAATAAAATTACGTCAACTGTATTTTTACATTTACAGAGAAAGCTCAAAAACTTAACTGTTGTCACCTGTGAGCAATTAGGAGGAATATTCAGCCCTCTTAGGCAATTCAGACAAGGACTTTTATCAGTTCATTTGCAAACTGAGCTTCTTTTTATTCAACTTCCAATTATACTCTTAGTTTGTCTTTAATCTTGCATCGGACCTGTTTTTATCTAGGTCAGTGTCAGACTTGCAGGTCTCTTTGACCTTGGAAATCATGTTTCCTAAAAAAAATGGAAGGGCAGGATTTTTCTTCTGATAGTCAAGTGAATGACCAGGATTACAGTCGAGTGCTGGTGCATATTGAAGTCAGCCTGCTAATGATTTTGTCCCTTTCACACTTTGATCAGGGCACGCTAAGTTGTTGAAAAATTGTCAGTCTTGTAGCAATGCACTGGCTCCGATTTATGAAGATGTATATGATGTGCTAACATCTTCTATATTCCCCATTTCCTTGGAAAAGTTGCAGTCCCTTTGTTGAAGTAACTTAGTTCATATGCTGGTTGTTATCTAGGAAGAAGAAACCAAGTCCAACTGCTGTGTTGTAATAACTGAGGGGAATGTTCTAATTTCAGAAGGAACTAAAGCTGTTTTTCATACACTTAGAAATTATGTACTTTTGCTCGTAAACACCCTTTGGACATAGAACCTTTCTACCTCATTATTTTTCTTTTGTATACTTCGTTAATTAACATAGCCTTCTTTGGTTGCAAGGCTGTTTAGGAGTGGTTCATTTAAATTGTTTCTTTTTTTATTGTCAGTAATGAATTTGTCTTAGAGCAAGTGAAGAAATGACATTGAAAATGAGGTGAATTGTGTATTTTGAAAGGGTTTTATATAAAAACATTTGATTTGTGTAGCTGCAAGTTGAGTGTGTGTTACTGAAACACACACATTAAAGGTATAATTACTTGTAACAAAAGATGTTTATATTGGAAGCTCAAAGTAGCTGTATTTATGAATGTACATATGTAAAATATACATAAAATCTTTTGATTTAGCATGATAAATAAGTATTCATGCGTGAAACGCTTGATATGGCTTCTTAACTTGAATCGCTCCAAAAACTCAGTTTCCTCTGACCTAATTAAGACTCCATACAACATGCAAAATTTCAAGATGGTGTAAAAATGTGATAGTCAGGGTTCTGCAGCCTGTAGTTCAGCAAATAACCTGAGAAAGTCCAAGCTCCACACGTGGCAGGAAGGTTGAGCCAACATGGGCTTGGCCTGCATGGGTGCAGGGCCTACACGCGCTGGCGCTGTGCCTCTCAGGAGCTCTTGTGACTCCCAGTGTAGTGGGCTTTATCTTGCCTGTTTGCTCAGAGTTGTGATGCACCACCGTACTAGTGGTGTACGACAGAGCCGGTGCTTGGCTATGGGCTCGGTCCTGGTAGGTAAAACTTTGAGTAGTGGTTGGTATTTTTACTGATCCTTATATGATATGATGTGGCAGTGTTTTTTTTAAGATCTATAAGCAAGTCCATGCTAAACTTGAATTTGTTGTTTTGCAGTGAGGGTTTCCCCAGGAATGTAGAGGTTTTTATTGGAAATACTTGTCTAATATTTTTTTCTGTGTATTTCTTTCGTGCTGCTCTGCAACTTTGCATCTTTATTTCTCAGTTGATATATATGGTATTGGCCCAAATCCACTTGTTTTTGTTCTTCCCCTCTGTGCTTTTCAATTTTGCTGAACTTACTATCATCATTGCTAATTTCTGCTTGCCATGTGTTGTATTGGTTTTTTCATTACTGTCAAATGGTCTGTTACATTTATTTCCTTCCTTCCAAAAAAATCCAGCCATTCAGAATAAGCCAGAGGAGGCAGACGAGGCAGCCTTGGTGTTTGAATAAAGTTTTGCTGTCAGTGAAAGCCAAAAAGCATTCAATTACTTTAGTTTAAAGTCTTATTTCTGCTGAAAGGTAGCATACAGTATTCTTTGTTTTGACGTGCAATTGGAATTACCTTTTATTTTTTTCCCAAAAGTATTTGTAGAAATAATGAAATAGGAATTCACCTGCAGTTGTTATCTTCTCCCATTTAGTTAAAGAAATGGAACTCATTCTGTGTAATTACCCTGTAGAGATACTACAAAAAGAAAAGTGAGATTTAGATTTGTTTCACTCTTGAGATTTAGCGACAAATTTATTAACCTACTGAACGTATTCTTTGCAGATGGTTAGGAAACAAAGCATCGCACTGTGTAGTGAGACTGCAGGTAATAAGTGAGCTATTGGCACAACAGGTAATGGCCCTTTTCCTCTATAATCCTCAGAATACCATCTAGAATGAGAACTTGACAACATGCATGGATTCTTCCACCATTTATAGCAGCTTCCAGTTCTCACTTTTATGATGAAAACATTCTGTTTTAGAAGCGACATAGAGAAAACATAATAAGCCTTATTGTTAATGTTACCTTTATGGATGTAAATACACATGTCTGCAGCTATACAGAAAAGGGAACTAAATGTTTACTGAAAGTATTTTTATTGATGGAATGAGATGCTGCATATGACCTAGTGTCATGGGATTTTTTTTTTCCAGAACTTCCGATGGTGGAAAGACAGTTGGTACCATTGAAGTCAATCTTGTGAAGATGGGAGAACTAGAAGATGGGGAACCAGGCCATATCACAACAGATTCACAGGATCAAAAGGTAACAATTCAGTTGATTGCACAAAATTAAACAGAATTATTAGTTGCACCAGATACTTAAATTGCTCATACCACATTGTATTAAGTAGTTATTAAAAAAATTATGGGGTAAAGTACTGTTCACATTTAATCTCTCAAAAATAAAAATAAATGTTACAAAAACACGCACAATCATGTTCTGTTATTGATTGCCTAGTCCCTCTCCTTTTTTAGAAATAGAGTTGATTTTTATTTCAGCTGATCATCTTTGATCATTCTTGATCAACATCTGTCCGTAGAGACACCATAAACTATTTTTTTTTCCCTTGGCAGTTCCTCTGTTTTCTGCCATTGAAGTCCTGTTCATGTGGATTTTTAAGTGCAGCCAGTATCCACAATACTGAAAACCTGCCAAGAATGGCAAACAGGCAAGCGAAAGAACAGGTGAATCCCGTTAAAAAGGGACAGATTCAGCTGCGTTTCATTGTAGCATACAATGGTGGGGAAAAATCTATGGGTGTAGTGGGTGGCAATGGTGGTACTTAAATGTTAGAATAGGGAAGTGTTGTGCAGAGGGTTTGTGTAGGGATTTTTAATTGAGGCAAATGTGGGAGGCAAGAGGAAGAGCAGAAGGGGGTCAGAAAGGGTAAAAATGCTCTCCAGTAGGCAAGTCTTACAGCCGGAAGTGGTGGCGATGCCAACTGGAGATGAAACAGTGGACAAGGAAGGAATAGGAGAACCAAAGGAGGGACGGAAAGGATGGATGACGAGAGGTTTGGGCTAGGACAAGATTCAGAAATAACGACTCCAAATGATGAAATGATGAAAACTGATCATTTTCAGTTAATAAAAAAGGAGTTTACTTAGAGTCTCTGATAGTTCAATTCGACCTGAGATGTCAAGTGGTACGGAGTACCTCATGTCTTGCTGTTTGGTTGAAGATCTGAGATCTGTAGCAGAAAATCTTTAGAAGAGCCGTGTTAACTAGTTGAGTTTACTGTCATCTTTGGAAAGCTTTTTTCTGACTGAAGGAGGAACATGAAAAATATTAATGCTAGCACATTTAAAAGAGGATTTATGCCAGTGGACTTTGACCAGTTGATTTTTCCATTGACTTTTGATACTTTTATACTTTTATAACCTTATCAAAGGAAACGTTTTCTAATTCACTTGTATAACAGATTACTTCAATCACAAACCACAACCACGTTTTAAAGATTTGTGGCTTCTACTTCTGCCTTGTTTAAAAACTCATTGAGTGCTTTCTGATGCCATGTATGGGAAAGCTACTGAAAGAAATCCCTCAGAAACCACATCGTTTGTCAAAAGTTATTTTAACCTGTGCCTTTGCATTGGTAGGAAATCTTTGTTTTGTTATGGAATAGCTGACCGTATGTTGTCATCTTCATTGTAGTACTTCTGAGTGTTTTGCTGTATATTGGAACATACAGAGAAGGAAATCTGAATGGTAATTAATGGTAGGGTTGGGAAGTTATCAATGTTCTTTTTGATCTGCTACTTATGAGCCGCTTTTATAAACGCTTATAAACTCCTTGTCATGCCACAATGTGCAAATATAAGCTATTGTTTTCTTGTTTCTTTTGTAGTGTGCGTTGGTTCGTGAGTGTACAGCACCTGAAGGCATAAGTGGCAAAGACAACTTGCCTTCGTTAAATGCAGGTGAGTATTTTAATTTGCGTGTAAGAGGTGATTATTGGAACATCTGGTCTTGAAGAAATCACTAAAATTTGGAGCAGATCTCTTTAAGGACTCTTCATAACATGTAGAGATTTATTAATATTTCATGTATTTTTGACTGTGTCATTTTTCTAACAAATGTGAAGAAATCTTTCAGACGTGTAATGCGTTATGAAATACTGTTGAAATCTCCCATTCCAAATCTTTTACAATTCAGTGGTATTTCAAGACTGTCATTGACTTCAGTGGGCATGGAATTAACCTCGTAAGTTTTTTTCATGTCATTGCATGACACCCTGTTAAAATAATTATGTCCTATTTGCAATTGAATATCCAGGAGAATTAATCTTTCTCCTAGTCGATGGCATGGCAATTTCAGTTCAATCTGGAAGCTGTACATCCTAAAACTGAAGTAGCGATGGGTGAGGTATTCTCAGTTCTACTTCTGCTCTGCCCTTGTCAGTACTTCACTGAACTAGAATTCTGATTCAATATACTGAGAAATATAACATGCTGATATGTTGCACCATAAAAGTTTTACTAGCCCAAGTTTATGAATCTCTACTGCTCTACAGTAACAATGTCAGAAATAAGATGTGTTATCTGAAACCACAGCACTGCCAACTATTCTGTGCATTAGCTGCAGGCAGTTGAAGAGAAATGTTACTGAAGTTATAACGTTTTTAAAACCTTTATAAAAACTTTGTCTTATTACTTTACTGATAGGACAGCAGACATGGTAGTGCAGCTTTGCAGTCGGATGGAAGCACTAGAAACACACCAAAATAGTCTTCCTGTGCATGAATGAAAGGTGTCTTTTTTCTAATGATTTGTTGAGACTAGATCAAAACCAGAGAAAAACTTTGAAGAGCTGCAATTTCTCGTTACTGGTTCAATGCGAGGCTACAAGTGTTTGTGGAAAACAAAAAAAATTGAGAATCTCTAAATGGAGAGGGACCACATCTGCTTACAGAAATTACTGAACTGGAAATAGCTGGAGGGAAGGAGTGTTTGTAGGCATGGATTTATGGCTTTTCTCGGAGGCGAGGTACAGAGCCAGTTGGATGATCTGGTCAGACTTAATGCAGCTCCTTGATTCTGAATGTCATCCAGATAGTGAGTCTCAAAGCAATTCTTAGTTAGAAAGTGTTGCTGTTTGCAAATGGGTTTTTTTAATTCACTGCCTTCTTTAGGTGAAATATATTTTTTTTTGATGGGCAAGTGTTGTATTGTGGGGAATAATTAGTGGTAAATTGTTGGAGCTCTCAAAGTAGATATCAGTTTGGCAAACAGTGAAGTTGAGGCCTCTTTGCCAAGAGTGAATGCGATTCTGCAATGTATATAGACAGCACTTAGGTATCTATATTTATTGTTCTCATATACAGTTACATACCAGAAAATGGACCATCACCTTTCGCAGAGTTTTTGTGTGTTTTATTTTTGTTGAGTTGATTGGAAAAAGCAAAATTGAAAATGTCATATATGAGAAATGACAGCACACGGGATATTGGAAAGAGTTTTCAGATGCAGGCAGTTTGTTCTATTAAGTACTTATTTCTCCATTTGCTTTCTGTACTTGTGACTTCTTGCCGTGGCATTGCCTGTGCTCTCAATAGACATTGGGCATCAATTTCAAGTTTTGTCAGTCCCACTCTTTTCACCTTCTTCTTACTGAATTCCCAATTTCTTTTCTTAAGAAATTCTTTCTTTCCTTTTCTACCTCCAGCCTCTTTTCCCAATCAGTCAAGCTTCTTTCCCAGCATGTCTCCATGACTGAGCTTTGTGTAGGTTAGAGCTGTCTCTGTTGCCTGGAGATGGGCTTTCTGAAATGGGTTCTAGTGTTGCTCTTAAGAATATTGTCCCACAGGTGAGCTGTGTGCAGTGAAGGTATTCATGCACTCTGTAGCAATGACACATCTACAGTCATATGAGTATTAGAAACTAGAAATGATACATTTTCAAAAGAAGTTGACCCCTGGTGCATGTGTAACGTGTTTAGCTCAAGCCTGTTTCAATTATTTACATACTAAGATTTCTTTCCTTAGGCTTAAATCAGTGTCAGATCTTGGTGGATTCTTATGGATATGGTAATTAGAGGACTTACTGTCAGAATTGAAGTTTATAAAGCACAAAAGATTACAGATCTCATAATTCTAACACTGTAGACCTTCCTGTATTTTTTTGCCCCATTCTCCAAACAGCTGGACCATTTTAGCTGAAAATTCCCAGAAATAATTTGTTCAAATCAGGCAAAATTTTATGTGGCAAAATCAGAAGCAAGGAATGAAAGGAAAGGAAGAAGAATATTGTGCTGGAAGGTGAGAATTACAGCCTGCTTGCAGTGTACCTTGCCTGCACTACTCTCCCTGCTGTGTACATGCAGAACTACAATGACCACAGATTCCACAAACATTACGTGTGTATGCTGTTGTAAACTGCTCTGTCTCTCCCATGTTGTTTATCAGGCCTTCAAAACTATGAAACTGAAAAAAATACCCCTGTGTTTATCTTTAAGCTTGCTGGCGTTATTCTGTAAGTTAAAACTATATATATGTAACTCAGAATCCTTGAGTTTTGAGTCACTTAATGAGTCAGGGGAATGAGTATATTTCACAGATAGATATAATCATTCTATTATATCCCCAAGGATTGAATCTATATGTCTCAATGTTGAGTTATTCATTTCTAATACAGGAATGCTTGCCAGCAAACCTTTTACCCTTTGCAATGACAAAAAGAATAAAAGTGATTAAAATAAAGCAGAAATGAACAAAGTTGAAAATGATCCTATCATAATACATCTATCCTAAAAAAGGAAGATACAAATAGAAACACTAATAGTAAATTGGTATATGGCAGCTGTATGCTTTGATTTGTGTTGGATGGAGAGCAAGAATGAAAACAGTACTGGATCTTTCATTAATTATTTTATTTGCAGGAGAAGCAGTAAGAAATATATTGCATGAAGTAAAAAGCACAGAGACCCTTTAAAATGAGAATGTGCAAAAGCATGGATAGTCAAATATATGGTACCGGCTTTAAAGCTTTGTGCAATAAAGAAGTGATTTTAAAGCAAATCTTTCTTTTCTTAAACCACCGAAGTTCAAATTGTTTTTTTGTAGTGCCCTTCATGATCACTGTCTAAATACAGGAAGGATTAAATTTATGCAACTTTCACTCGTTTTAATAACTACTAGTTATAAAATCTAGTTGTAGTCTTACCATCCTTACTGTTTGGGTGCCAAAAGTCATCTGGATTTCTTTTTTAGGCCATTTGGAGAAGTAAGAAAGAAAAACATCTAAGAACTTTATGGAATCATGTAAACATTTCAGTGTTTCGCTTCACAGGAAAAGAAAATATTGTGCAGCTCTTATTGTCTACCTCACAAAGTAGCAAGCAATAATGAAAATTAGAACTAATTGGTTTCCTCCCAGTCCTTTTTTTTTTTCCTGTGTTTATAAATGAAGCTTTCTTCATAAATGCATGGAAAGATGTTTTTGCTGTTTTTTTGCCTTCCCTTTTCTTTTCTTTTTTTTTTTTTTTTTAAATAAAGAACTGTAAATGGCTTCCAGTCTGCAATTTCAGTATCATAGATGTTACCATTTAGTATCTAAAATGACTTAAAAATTCTAAAAATGAGAAAAGAAACAACTTGGGATCCATGTTTCCTAAATGATACTGGTCTTCCTTGCAGTTATGCTGCAATACTTTGTGGGTTTTTTTTTTTCCGTTGGCTTTGATTTCTGTTGTTTGTTTTTTTTTTTTTTAACTGGTGGTGATGATGAGGAGAGATGCAGGGGGAAGAGACTGTTAAGCATTCTCTGCTTAGCTAACCATTTTGTGTACGTGCATTAGGTTCTCACAGACAAGAATTTTGTGATTGTAGTGGATTGAATGTAGATTCAAGCATTGCTCTTGGAAAAACTTGATTTGAAAGCTTATTGGGAAGTAAACTTAGAAGGAACAGTGAAGACTTTTCCATCTAGGTCATCGTTATTTGAAATCTCATGGTAAATGTTATCAGCCTGCTTCATAATGAACAGGTGGTGCTACAAAATAATTAAATCAAAGAAAGAAAAAAGTGACCTGTTCTGACTGATTTCTATGTTAAGACAGTCCTGACTTAACCAAGTTTATTGAGCTCCCTCTGATTTCTGGAGACTGTCATTTTGTATCTTGTTAATGGAAGATGATTGGTGCCTTTTGTCTGCTTTGTGGATTGACAGAGGCTGTCAACATTATTGAAAATTCGATTTTATTAACATAAAAGTATCTCAGTGGAAAGCAAGGAAAATAGGAGAAATCCCGTTTTAATGAAGGAATAGAGTAAAGCCCAGACACAGGATGCAAGTTGATCGTGTGTTGAAGATGTTTTTCTGTTTCAAGGATCCTCCAGCTGTAAATGTGCGTACTGACATTTGTATGTTGGGGTATTTGAGGTGCTAATAATGAACAGAAATTCCTGTTGTTCATTTGCCATTTCCATCAATCATCTATTATGCCTGTTTTAGAATAGTAAGTCAATCTAGTTTTTCTAAATAAAATCAATCTTAAAAGCAGGAAGACTTTTAAAAGGCTTTTAATTTCTAATCAGACTAGGTAAAGAGATCTCAGTGAAATGATGGAAATAGAAAAGGAACATGAATATTTGCAGCATTCTTTTCTTTACCAGCAGCTGTTTTATTACAGATAGCTCTGTATCTGGAGTCTTGTTTCAGGCTTTTTTTGGAGGATTTCTTGATTAGTTATGCAAGATGACTTGTGTAACTTTAACTTACTCTGTTTCTCATTCTCTGTAAATCAGCTTACATAGGCAATAATGATTGCAGTGAGTTGTAAAAGAAGCTGATATTCCTAATAGTTGTCATGGTTGCCACATAGTTGCCATTGGGAGTTAAAGGGTTGATGCTGCAGTTTCCTCAGAAAAGAATGAGCTCTTTAACTCCCAGTGCACTGCATGGTATTTTGATGATGAAAAACTATGAAACCATGACAGTGGTATATATCATATTGACAAGAAGTTTCTTCTCAGCACACATGAGAAATGCTTTTGTTTGAGTTACAGACCATTCAGTGGCAAATCAATGGAAACCTGGTCTGAGGCTGCTTATTCCATAAGGCTGGTAGTAGAAAAGTACTTTAGGTGGTTTTGAATGGCTGTCTGAAGTCATTCTGCATTAGCAAGCTGGTAATGTGTGCGTTTAATGACAGTAATTTGTGTCCCATGAAACTTGCTTACGAAGTCAAATGATAGTTTCCTATCTCAGCTTTTTACCAATAGTTAGGAGTGGGGTGGATTTGGGGAAGAAAGGAGAGCACAGAAATTTCCCATCGGAACACAATTGAGAGGTCAGAGCAGAAATATTGCCAAGATGCAAGAGCTTTAAGGTGAAAAACACTGTGGGTTTTAAGGATAAACTTCTAAGACATGAAGCATCTTGGTTTTCCTAAATATTTTCATTTTCTTATGCCAAGCTATGAGTTACAGCCATAATCTGGGAATAGAGCATATAATACATTTGCAGGATAGTAATCTTTATTTCTATGGAGTACCAATTTCTTCATCATATCGGTGGTAAAGTTTCCATTAACATTAGGAACACCTCATCTATTAACATTAGTGACTCCTTTGCGTACGTATCATGGAGAAGATGCATCGAATACTGCTAAGCCGCAGGACACTCTTCACTTGTCCAGTGAAATTTATTATTCATGTGATTCTAGCAGATAGTAGGTGATAGCACTGACTGCGACAAGTTCATTGTTTAATTGTGCGTTTTGTTTTTCCTAGCTGTATCTTAAGTATAAGAATAGAGAGCATAACTTCTCTTTCTACTGCACTGAAGTAATAAATTCACAGAATACCTGCTGTGATTTATCTGCTATATTAGCAAAACTTGGTCCTCTACGTGCTGCTATAATAAATAAAATACTAATGTATTTAATAGATTCTTAATGGCTTTGAAAGTAATTCTGCAAGCAACGGGAGGGAATAATGTATTGTTTTTAGATATTTTGTTCTCATAAATTTTCAGTCATATAACCACAGGAAAGCAACCTTATAATTTTTCTTCCCTGCAGTGTTAAAAAACCCGATCTGTAAGTTGTACAGATTTCCTACTTCTGACAACAAGTGGATGCGGATCCGGGAGCAGATGGCTGAGACCATCCTCTCCTTCCATATTCCTAAAGAACTGATCAATCTACACATAAAGGAGGATATGACAAGGTAAGGATGACGAATAAAGGATGAGCAGTAGTAAATAGTACGTGTTTTCTTAGTAAAAATAAAATACACGATGGGCTAAAAATATGGATTGAAACTGAGAAATAGGCTGGGTGTACTGTTCTAGGGCAGCAAAGCTGGTGAGGGATGTGAGCACATGCCTTATGAGGAGCGGCTGAAGGAGCTGGGAATGTTCAGTCTGGAGAAGAGGAAGCTCAGGGGAGACCTTATTGCTCTCTATAATTACTTGAAGGGAGGTTGTAGTGAGCTGGGAGTCGGCCTCTTCTCTCTTGTAAATGTTGATAGAGTTAGAGAGAATGGCTTCAATCTGTGCCAGGGGAGATTTAAGCTGGATGTTAGGAAATGCTACTTGTCTGTAAGAGTCAGGCACTGGAATGGGCTGCCCAAGAGGTGGTGGAGTCACCGACCCTGGAGGTGCTCAAGGAACATTTGGATTTTGTGTTGAGAGACGTGGTTTAGTGAGAACTGTTGGTGATAGGTGGATGGTTGGACTGGTGATCTTGAAGGTCTTTTCCAACCTTGGTGTTTCTGTGATTCTGTGAGTCTTTGGATTTGTGAGGCTTTACAGTTGAAGCTGAACAACAGAATTGTCAGAATTCTTTAAGACTGCAGTGATTCATAAGTTCTGAGCAGCGATCTGTTTTAGAGTACAGTCATGACTTGAAATGCGTAAGGATCAACATTTGGTTAACAGCATTTTTGGAAAAGCCAACGTTTTTTAAAGATACAAAACATGATAAGGGTGTGAACTATATTGTAGTGTTTTGTTTTGTGCTTTGCAATGCTTAATTTCTCAGACAAATATTATGCAAGCAAAGGCAAGTAGTATGGTTGTAGTTAGTGAAGAAGCAATGAGAATATAAATCGCTTTTCTTCTAGCTAATTTACCTTAATTGACATGAGAAAAATCTATAAAAATAGTTGAATTTTGTTATCTTAGCTCATGTTGGGCCTTTTAGTCAGGAAAGGCATTACAAAACCAATGCCGTGTGAATGGCCTGGGAAAAAGAGGGGGAGCACTAGTGGCCTTAAACTCTTTGTATGTTGAAATTCCCACTTCATGTGCTAAAACTGCAATTTGCCCTTAAATAGAACTGTAAATTCTGCTGGTCCAATGGGGCAAAAGGTTTCAAGTGGTCTCGGGCTTCCCTAAATGCTTACCTGCTTTTCCCAATAGTGCTCGATGATGCAGGAAAATGTTGCTACTTTTGCCATTGTACTTGCCTCACATAAGTGGATGTCTTGTCTCGTGTAAGAGTAGCCTTGTGAGCTAATGCTGCATCCCTAAGGTAACCTGTGTGCTTTCAGGTAACCCCTCTTCAGCAACCGAGCAGGAAACCTTGCCTGTGGATGTTTGCAGGAGGTCCTGCAGTAGGGGTTCCAGTCTTAATAATAGCTGTTAAGCCCATCTACTGCATCTGTGTGGTTTTCTTTTTGTGACAGTCCACAATCTTGCATGTAATAAGTAAGTAGACTGCTATGGACTTAGTTGTAGTGATGATGGGTTTTAAAAGTATATGTGAATTGGTATAATATTTGATTTTTTCATTAGTACCATGTTTAGGTGTTCATGACCAGATCTTGTTTGAGAATATTAACGCGTAAGGGTTTTTTTATAAGCAATAAAAATAGATCATGGTGACTGTATAGCCCATCTGCTACTCAAATTTAGATTTCCCAATAGATAAATGCTATTTAGGAGTTAGAGAATTACTTTAACCATTTTTATTTCTTATGCATTATCATTTCCAAAACCACTGTGCAAGTACCAGTACTTGGTGTTGTTTCACATTCACATCTCTTTGGAACAACTCATAGTATTGTCTTATTGTTTGTCTGTTAAATGATCATCCAATACCCACTGAAACAAAGAAATGCTCTGAGGAAGAAACATACTTAAATATGGCTTGACAATTGAAGCACGTGCTTCTGGTTTTTCTGACTGCCTGTGTGGTTAGCTGTGAAGCCTGGTTAGAAGTTTGGGTGTGACAGTGAGAGGAACAAGTTGGTTGCATCAGTCTGAAGGAGGAGGTAAAAAATCGAGAGAAGCAGGAACTTTTGGTAGGATATAGGAGATTGGGGTGGAGTGGGGACATCTGTGTCGCTTATCAGTGTATAATCACTTAGGTTGCAGCTTCAGCTTTGTACATGGTTTGCTGTCTGAAATAATTGCAAAGATGTGTACTCCTGCAGACTGCATACGTTTGGAAAGTAGTAAGTTAAAGGAGAAAATTGTTGTGCTTGTCCTTGAACTCTTAAAAAATTTAGACTGTACTTTCTCAAGGCTATTCTTTCTGAAGAACTCATCTCTACCTGTTGTTTTTTCCCTGGTTAGTGTGAAGGAATAAATGCTTTTGTCTCAGCCCGTGTCGTACTATGTTTAGCATGTTTCATTTTATTCCTTCAGTTTAGTCAGGTTGCTTCAATACTGTCAGGTCTAAAGCAGTTACTTATAATATCCAACTGTAATGTTAAACCTGTTCAGTATTACAGTACTTTTTTTCATAAGTTTTAAGATTGTTTATCACTTGATTAAACTAGTGTTCTTTGTTAAGAACAGAATAGTTTCTTTTTTTTTTTTTAAACTTGATTCTCTGAAATATGTAACCTCTGAGAGTATTTAACATTGTTTTTTAGTATGGTGTAATGCTTTTAACAATATTCTTCCATTTTTGATACTAACCTTTGGACCTCCTTGGAAGAAGTTTCAATAGGAGGTTTGTGGTCATTTTTTTGTTCTAAAAAAGGTGATTTAGTCTACTTTTCTGCTTTTTATTAAACAAGTTTCCTTCTCCAGGCTTTCCAATGAGTGCTTTCCACACTCCGAAGTATTTCTTGACACAGATCTTCTCATTTGCATTCATCCCACAAGACTAGCAAACTAGTTTTTCTAACACGATAATTATGAAAAAGGCTACTAGTTTACAATAACTAGTTCAGAAGGTTTGTCAGCCTGTGTAATTTAAGCTTGTAGTTGTAGAAGCAGCTTGTGTTGCACTAAATCAGCATAGCAAGAGAATTGTGGAACTAAAGTAGAAACTACCATACCTATTTTTTTCAAACTTGAACTGGCATATTCCAACTTTCCTGCTGCATCAGGAATGGCTGGCCTGTCTCAAGTCCAGCATACTTTTTTTGTGTGATCTCTGCTGGTCAGTAAAATACAGACTTTGCAATCTGTTTTGGGAATTCTTTCATGCAGCATTCTGGAACGAGGAAAAGTTTTGAATTGTTAGGAAGACATGTGCATTGCTTTTGCCTTTTAATACAAAAATTGGAGTGGACATTGATCTTCTGAATCTTTGCATGCTATTTTTAAAATTACTTTGTTTTGAACAAGGGCATGGCGAAATTGTTGTGTGGATGTAGGTAGTATATAGGTAATAGTTATGTTTCTGATAGCACTAAGTTGTCTGCTATTTTGTCATTTCATGTCTCTTGGGGATGCAGAGAGTATAAGTTAGAGGCATTAAAATGTAAATGATTTTAATAGTTTTACATAATATTATTTTTACTCAAGTCATAAAGGTCTGCATTGTTTTTTTTGAATGAGTACTGATCAGTAAATTGGAATAAAAAAGCACCCACGAAAGTACTTAGGTGCTTGAGTAATCATGCAGTTAATAATATGATGAATCTTGCCACATCCACGAATTCAATCTGAAAGAAATAAAGTTCTGAATAGAAACTCTCAGAGGTAAATGTTGCTTCAGATTGATGATAGAAGCGAAAGCGTTGTCTTAAAAATCTGACTCAAGCTGATAGCTCTGATTTCACATATATGTATATATATGTGAATGTATATAATGTGATGGACAAGGAATTGTTCATCACCTGCTGACATCATGAGCTAGACCCTTGAACAGTGGAAGATAAAGAGAGATGAACTCCCACCCCCTTCATAACTTTTCTTCAGCATGATATCATAGAATTGTACAATAGTTTGGATCGGGAGGGACCTTTAAGATCTTGTAGTTGCACCCCCCCTGCTATCAGCAGGGACGCCTCCTTCAAGACCAGCTTGCTCACAGCCCCATCCAGCCTGCTCTTGAGCCCCTTTAAGGATGGGGCATCCATGATGTCACAGGGCAACCTGTTCCAGTGTCTCAGCACTCACATGGTAAAGGTTTTTTTCTTAATATCTACTCTGAATCTGCCCTCATCCAGATAAAAGCCATTTCCTGTCATCTTGTAACTGGGATGATATGGAATATCCCTTTGGCCATTTGAAGTCAGCTGTCCTAATTCTGCCCCCTTACAGCCCTTGTTTATTATGAGACAAGAACCTGGAATGGCCTTCGCTCTGTACAACACTGCTTAGCAGTAACTATAAACATGGGTGTGTTAGGAACGTTGTTTTTCTGCCAGAACCAAAATGTAACATCATACTGGATGCTCTGAAGAAAAGCAGGTCTGTCTCTGCTGAAACAAGGACAGCAGTGTCAGAAAAGACTGGCATGTAGACAGTTTGCGGGGCTTAACAAGAAAATTTAGAAAGCAGAGCTTGAGTTTGATTCTGTAAGAAGAGTTGAAGATGATGCTGAGCACGGTATTTGTCATTTGGTATTTGATAAACAAATTGCCTGAAAAAGACCTAAAGAGAGAGGTTTTGGAGTGAGTGAAGAAAATGATAAACAGATCTATTTTACTTAGGTAACTCTAGAAGTAATGCTTTCTGTTTTTTTTCTGTGCAAACTACAACAGATACAAAGAGCACAATAACACTAATTAATAGAGGAAATTCTCAGGGACAAAGCACTGTTCTTTCAATGCTTTCGCCACCATTAGCGATGCATTTTTGCTAGCCATCAACAAGAGGCTGCATACCACGCTCATAAAAATCCATACTGGCAGAGGTGACCTGCTGTTTCAGAGCAGCTACAACAGTGGCTTTGCTAGGAAAATGTTGCCTACGCAGTCTGTCTTTCATCAGTCTGAACAGATGGAAGTCAGAAGGTGCCAGATTCGGATTCTATGGATCTAATATGAATCCAGATATTATATGGTGGATGGGGTAGGATAGTGCAGCCAAGGTTGACCATGTGCTCCATGGTCTTCCAACTGCTGTGGGGCCTGGTGTTATCATGTTGCAAGAGAAAGATTGTCTTCTGCTCTGGCCTGGGTCTGGAAGTTCTGGCTTTCAGCATATTCAGGATGGCAGTGTGCAGGTCAGAGCTGGTGTTTTTTTCTGGGCTTCAGAAATGTTGTTTTTGTTCCTGAGGGAGCATTTGTGGCACCCACCTAGTGCAAACTGTGGTTTTCCAATGTTGCTACCATGATTTCCAATGCATTCAAGCCAGTATTCAGCTCCATTGGCAGTTCCATGGCTGTCATCTCCCATTTTGTGTGGATGTGCTGATGGAGATGCTCTTCATGTGGTGGTGTGATGGCTGTCTGTGACAATCTGAAACATGGATTGTCTTTTACTGTCATCACTGCTGAAACACACCACCCACAGCCTCACTGAGCTCACATCCACTGTTTGATCTCCATAAATGTTCAGGAATCATCCAAGAATGTCAATGGGTGCCGTGTTTGCTGCAGAGAGGAATGCAGTGATACGCTTTTGCTTCATATGCACTTCCACATCAGATGCCATTTTACCGGTGTCCCTCTGCTGCCATGGCAACAAAATGTAACGTGATACTGTCAGGAAGGTTCACACTCGGTTGCTATACCTCCAATATCTACAATATCTGTCAGGAAGGTTCACACTCGGTTGCTATACCTCCAATATCTCCAATGTCTGATGGTGTGGGCCAATGTAAGCAAGTAGGAGGCATTACTTTTGGAGCAGCCCTCGTACGATACTGAGATTGCTGCAAACTTACTGCTGTGTTAATAAATTGTTCCAAATCCCATGCTTGAATTGAAAACATTAATTAGTTACTTGTCCTTTGGGATGTCTGAAATATATTAAAAATACTGATTTCCATCAATTTCACAGCGGTTATTTAATGTGTTTACTGTTTGGAATGTATTTTGAATCTATTCAGTGAAATAAGTTCTGGTAGAACACATTGCAGTTTTGTTAAAAACGCTTCAAAGATGCATATATATTTAAAATATATATTTTATACATATATATATTTATATATGTTATATAGAAATGCAAATGTATGTATAAACATATATATATAAAAAGAGAGAATTTGAATATCACGGGGTGTTAGTATGGCTTTTAAATTGCATCATTTCCAAAGTACTTTGTTTCTGTTATTTATCCTTTTCGTTGAGGGTTGCCAACAATTCCGATAAGGCTTGGTGCTGTGAAGTACTGTTGATGGAACTTAACTGTGGAAAAAATCATTCTCTTTTTAGCAGTGACTGAGAACAGAGTTGCACTGAATCACCAGTGTGACAAACTCGCAATACACAAATAGTATCCAAATCCAAAATATTGGATTGATTATTGTTTGGGAAAAAAAAAAAGTGACTGTGCTGGTTAGTTTAGGAAGTTAGTGAGCTCTACTTTGGTCCGGTTGACTCTCAAGAGCGTGTACAGGAAGACTGATAATTTGCTGAAGGATTTCCTTTTGCGTTTTAGTGTCGTGTGTGGTTACCATAACATTGCTGTTTTGACCTGATGAGCACAGCTGTAAGGCTGAAGATTACGTTTTAGAGAAATTGTCACTTTCTGTTTTGTTCTGTTTTACAATAAAGAAACGTGGGGGAAGAAAAGCTTGGAGGGGAGCAAGCTTGGTGTAGGGGGCATGTGACAGAACTACTGTACTGATACATAAACAGACCTTTGTAGAAATACTTCCGCAACAGTGTGTATGAGAGTATCCAAAGAGTAGACCTTATAAAGAAGCTTTAATCGAACTGTTGGAAAAGGAGTGTAGTTTGTACTCTATGCAGTGGTGCTTAATGTGTCTTCACAAAGTATTTCTTATTGTGGACACAGTTCTTTGGAGCCTGGAAGCATTCTTGCCTACGGGGAAGAAACAATATTTCACTTTGCAGACCACTGCATTTATACCAGATGAGTTTTGAATGTTAAATTATTGTAGTATTCAGTGATTTGACATTCTTTATTGCATGGTTTAAAAATAGAGCTGAAATCAGCAAACTTATTAAGAGGCGTGAAAACAGACCCGAGATAATAATTTTATTTCATTTGGGTAGGGCTTTTGATGTTTCTTAATAAACTATCTTGGATTAATTGGATTCATTTGGATGAGTGTTAACGGATTAAGGAATTAAAGCCGTCTCTTTTTGCCTTTTGATACAGGAATCAGGAGCTTAAAGACTTGGGAGAGCTTGCACCTCACTGGGACAATATGCGCAAAAGTGTTATTGCTCACTGTGATCAGATGTTGAGCATGTATCAGGATACCCTCGCAGAGCTTGGAAAACATACAGGTATGGAAGTAGCCTCCCCTCAGCTAGAAAATGTAACTGTCAACCTAGTCAATGCTTATGATGTACTAAAGTACTCAGCAGAAATAAAACATACAAAAACAATATAATCATTTCATTTCTGACATACCAAGAGGTTCCCTGCTTCTTCTGTTGGTTTTTTTTTTTTTTTTTTTCAAGGCATTCCAGCATGTTTTCCCAATTAAGGTAGCTCATGGTTATACAGCAACCAAAAAACTGGAAAAGTGGCTGTGCCTCTTTAAACTGCATATTCCCTTGAATGTACTGCTCTAGTAATATTGAGTACAATCTGACAGCTGGAAACAGTCTTAGGGAGTTCTGTCAGGTTTTTTGAAATACTGGTTGCATTTAAGAGTATAGAGAACAACTGTAACACGTTTTACATATCCTTAATGCATTTGTCGTTGCCCAGGTCACGTCAGAAAAGCACTTAATTTATGTAGGGTGCACAGTCTGCCCACAGTCCAGAAGTAGCACTGTGTAATACTTTTGCTTTTTTTCCACTTGTAGTGGTCTGATGCGTGTGAGGTGTTCAGTTATGTTTGTCAGCATCTTGTGGAATGTAATGTATTGTAGTACCCACACGTGAGTTAAGACAGCGTCAGTGACAAATGTACAGAGAGGCAATGGGTCTTTTCATCCTGTAAAATTCTTCATAAGGTGAACAAGAAAATACTGCAGAATAAAGTATTTATGCTTTTGAGTTTATTTTGATTGTTCGCAAATAATTTAAAGAACTTAGGATAACTCTTTTTATTTGGGAAGACTGCTGGATTACTTCCTGGCTAACGCTCTATTTTGAGCAAGCTATTTTTTCATTCATAGCATGCCTTCCACCTCCACTATTGCTTTTGAGATTGTTCTGGAAGGAATTGTGTAATTGTGTGTTCTGGAATTGTGTTCTGAGTGACTGCAGAGCCCTTGTCGCTGCTTTCTCGCTAGTGATGCTCATGATCACCACCTTATTATGCATTTTCTAAGGCTGTGCTGATATTATTGGATATACTGTTTCACTCTGTATTCTCATTATTAGTTAAGTGACTCTGTATGTATAATCTTGCCAGAGGTTAGCAGGACTTTGTGCATTGTGTGTTTACATATAGTGTTTGGTTACATCTTCTGAAATATTCGGTAATTACAAGGGTTAACTTGCATTGTTTTAACTATTCCTAGCTTTTTACAGTTGTGTAAAAAAGCCCCTTTTTTTTTTTATTTACTGAGGAAACTGTATGACTTCAGTTCAGTATACAACTAGATAGTTTTAGAGACTACATTTTTCTTTCACAGAATTGGGCAAGTTTTTTTATAACATACCTAGTGCATTTAGTAGGTGAGACACAAATCCTTCTTTTCCAAAATAAACATTAAAACTGTCAGGTTATCTGTTATCCATCACCTTATAGTAGAGAACTGAGCACATTATTTGTAACCTCATATTATTCAGAGATAGCTTTTTTTGGGGGGGTTACAGGAAAAGAGAAATCCTGTTTTAGTGTGTCAACAAAAAGAGCCCTTAACTGAAACAAAACGTTTTGGCAGCAGTGGGGGAGGAAGCTCATCTGTTACACTAAATGTGGGATAATCAATAGCATTTTGGTTGCACAACTGTAATTTCTTGTTTATGATTGCTTACCATCATCATAATATCCCAATTATGTTTTTGTCAGACTACTGTGTGAAATGACTTAAATTTCAGCATTTTAACTAATACATATCTTTTAATGCTTTGTTACTTAGATTTTGAAAGCATTCCATAAAATATAATATGCAAGGAATCATACAGATGATGAAAGGAATCAGTGTGTTAATTAACACTTTGAGGAAAACATTAATATGACCTTTTGGGATTTAAAAAAAGGGGAAAAAAAAAAAGTAAATTGTGCAAGACCTTTATTGTGACAAAGATAAAGATAGAAAGATAACTAGTCATAGCCAACGTGAGTTCAAAAAAGGAGAGTCCTGTTTAATTTAAACTCCTTTTAGGACAAGGTTATGAACCCGGTTGACCAAGGAAAATCAGTTAATGTAATCTTTTCGAATTTCAGCAAAGCCTTCAATATTGTTTTCAGAGTATTCTTATGGACAAAATATCCAGCTAACACTTAGACGAGATCATAATGTGATGGGTGAGCAATAGGCTGATGGATAGGGTAGGACAGCCTGACCAGGAACTCTGTGCACAGTTTTGGCACCACAGTATAAAGAGGACCTTAGAGAGCATCCAAAAGGAAGATGGTGAAGGGTCTAGAGGGCAAGGTGCTATGGTGAGAGGCTAAAATCACTTGTTCAGCTCAGAGAAGAGGAGGCTGAGAGCAGGTCTCGTGATGGCCTACAATTTCCTCAGGAACTTCTTTTGTGACAGTGATTGGGAATGGCATGGATTTGCTCCCCAGGGCAGTGGTCACAGCACCAGGCTGACAGAATTCAAGAAGTGTTTGGCCAAAGCACTCAGAAATATTGTTTGATTTTTGAGTGGTTCTGTACGGAGCCAAGAGATGGACTTGATGATTTATAATTCTAACTGTGGCGGACCAGGGAACCCAATGTTATTGAAGAGGATAGAGCCAGCACATGAAACAAAGTAGGAACTTGACTTTCAAAAGTAAGCAGTCTAATAATTGTACTGAAGATTTGAGCTAAATGAGGAGGTTTTAAGTTGGAGGTCAACATCGAGGGACATAACTAGATTTCATGTCTTGAACTACTTTTTTCCTCAGTAATATGCTGTTGGTAGAATAACTGTATTAGGGAAAATCCTTATTTTTTTGGTGTGTTAAAAAGCTCAGTGGTATATCTGTACGTTCTAGAACGTATGAATAGTACAGTAATTGTGAAGACGACAATATTTACTTAGTCCTGTACTGTATTTATTCATATTGAAACACAAATTGAATTAGATGATAAATCCTTTCGGCAGTAACTGTTCTTTCAGAGTTCCACAAAGATCTAACATTTTTTTTTACATTACATACGGTATGTATGTGGAGGTGGAGATAGGGTAGGGAAGGGGTGGAGGAAAGGGAATTTAATTTTATGTATGTGTATGGAGTCAGACTAGAACACCAAATTTGTATTTTAATCCTCTATGCAATGAAGGACTTTGCTGCCTAAAATTCAAGTGAAATCTGGAACAGATTTAAAGGTGGCTGAGAGTTCATTTTGCTTTTAAATTTCATTTCTCTGGCAGTATTAGTCTATATGGCTTGTACTTAGGTTGGAACTTCTATCCAACTATAGCTGCACACATTGCTTTTAAAATCTTGTGACAGCTCAGGGCATATCCTGCTTATTTTTGTACTGAACTTGAATGACTTGCAGTTCTTTCGCGGTGTAGTGACAGAAAGCCATCTTCTCCTGGGCACATGGGTGAAAATACGGGTAGTGCAGGCAAAATGCTGGCTCTAACAGCTGACTGGATGGGGTGAAACTTCTTTCACCCTTCAGGACTTCAGGAGTTACCTGATGTTCCAATATGTTGTAATCTTTACGGAGACATTAAAGTGGTCTTTGCAGAAGTTATGTTTGAGTAATAGGAATAACGAAGGCACAGGTGAGTAAGACGTATGTTGAATGCTTTGAAGATGCCTGCCTAGGATGAGAATGCAGGATTTGCAGCCAAAAAGAGTGACCATTAAGATGCATTTTTGCACCTGCCCTCTATGGTCTCGTACAGGTGGCCTCAGCCCATCAGTCCAGCCTGTCCAGATCCCTCTGTAGGGCCTTCCCACCCTCAGGCAGATCAACACTTGCTCCCAATTTTTTGTCACGTGTGAATTTAGTGAGGGTGCACTCAACCCCCTGGTTTTCTATCAAATCTGAATCAGTTACTCCTAACAATAGCTTTTTACAACCTTTGCTCTACATCTTCTTTCATGTTGTTATTATTTTAAGTTGTTAAGCAGCCTATGCAGGTCTACAACTCATAGACGAAGTACCTTTTCCTTGCTTAGCGTTTTGCAAATATTTTAGTACTTCTGTAGCGTTGCTTTATGGCGTCATTGGTGCCATCTGGCAACATTTGCACTGGGAGTCTGAAACATGCTTAGTTGCCTTGGAATTTGCGGCAGTTCAGACAGATAACCTATGGGAAATTCTGTCTGAGCAAGTAAAGAATTTCAAATGCATGTTTTTCTCCCTACACACAAGAAAATATTGAACCTTTTCAGGTATTTTTGTGGGGGAATGGAGAGAAATTGGAGATTGAAATCAGAACTAATATCAAAGGAATTTTATTTTAAACTATAAACAGGTAAGATGGCAGGATGCTGAAAAACCTATCTTAGTTGTGCTGCCTGAGTGAGAATGTACGATCACCTCTCTTTACTTACAGATGACCTGTGCCTTTGTATATGTGCACTGCTAAATATCTCCAGATAAATCTTGTTTATTCACATGAGGCTTTGATTGTATACCTTTCTACCACCATAGAGTTGCTTGTAATCTCGTCCTTCTGAAACGTGTAGCCAGATTGTTGGGTTTTTTTTTTTGAGAGCATTGTGCTTTTTTTCTGATACTGGATTTTTTTAAGAATAGGAGTTCATAGCTTTTCTTAAGCCATTTTATGCTTCTATAATTGGAGCTTTCTACGAAGAATACATAGCTCAGTCACTGTAATATTTTTCATTTGATAAAAAAAAAAGTTGGTGAAAATGTCGTACTATCATAGCTCTGTACCACTGTGTTTTTCAAACAGAATAAACATAATGCCCATTAACTGTGGCATTATTTCTAGCAGACCTATTTCAAGCCGCAGGAAAAATATGCGTATCACCTAGAATAAAAAATTAAATTGTTATGTGAATTAAAAGCTGTTTTGTTGCTTGCAATATGGATACATGCTGAGACTCAGTTAGTGAACCATTCTTCTCTTATTATACAGTTACACATTAAAAGTAAATTAAGGAAGGCTACAAGTATTGTCCTCACATTAAAAAGAAGACAAAACATCTGCAGGGTGCTTAAGATAATGATTCTTTAAACTTTTTTTTTTTCAGGTTCTTCCTTCAAGTCAAGCTGTAGCAAAGGAGAAAAAACATTAGAATTCATCCCAATAAATCTCCATCTGCAGAGGATGCATGTGCATAGTCCTCGATTGAAAGGTAAAGCATGGTTTGCAGAGAAATCCCCTAAGTATGACAAAGTATACTTAAAAATGCAATTAAACTGACAGCTGAGAGCTATGGTTTTCATTTTAGCCTTTTTTAAGAAGCAAAAATGTAAATTTATATATCCAGTTTCAGGAGTCAACATCATGTGGATGTATAGCTTTTGGATGAAACCGTACAACCACTGTAGGCCTGAAAGGCAGTCTGTTTAGAGAGTTCAATGTCGATGATTTTTTTTTTTTCACTTAATTGAAGGATACCAGCAATAGTTTTGTTCAATTGTTTAGATGAAATGTAAAAATGCTTCAGAAAAAAAAAGACAGCAAGTTTTGGTGTAGAAAATTGATTCTTCAGTAAATTCATCTGCAATTTGAACTTAAGTGAATTTGGAATACCATTGATGAGGAAGTAATTTTACCGGGAAGAGTGACTTTTAAAGAAAATTTTGAGATTAATTTCATGTGGTTTTTAATTTGCCCTCCACTCAAATTCAGTGTAAGATATATGCAGTATCCCATGATATGGACTTGCTGTATGACTATTCCTTGTTGTATTATTGTTTTTTCTTTTCCTGATAATCATAGAATCATTAGAGTTGGAAGAGACCCCCAACGGTCATCTAGTCCAACTGCCCTGTTGTGGACAGGGACACCTACAGCTAGATCAGGTTGCTCAGACTCCCATCCAGTTTGACCTTGAATGTCTCCAGGAACAGGGTTTCCGCCACCTCTCTGTTCTGGAGTGTCCACCACCCTTAACATAAAAATCTTTTTTCTTATATTCAATCTAAATCTCCCCTGTTCGATTTTGAAACCACTATCCTCTCACTACAGACCCTGCTAAATAGTCTGTCCCCTCCTTTCTTATAGCCCCCCATTAGAATACTGAAAAATTGCCATCAAGTCTTCCCAGAGCCTTCTCTTCTCCAGGCTGAACAACAGCAGCTCTTTCAGCCTTTCTAATAAGATGGAGTTGATGAATTCATTATTTAAAAACTTGTACTGCTGTAGAGGTATTTAATTATTCATTTCATTTAATGGTCCCTAGAAACTCAGTGTGGACATGTCCTGTCATTGTTTTATGTCCAAATATGGAACCTGCCTGCTCTCCTGCTTGACTGAATTTTACTCTCAGGATTGTTTGTCTGCCTGTAAATATCTAAGAAGTTGATTGAGATATTTCTAAAGAAATTGAATATGTATTTTCCTTAGAGAACAACTCGTAAGTAAATCATGAGAACAAAGAAATGACCAGCTACGTCTTCCTTCACATATCTCTAAGGAATTTTGAATCCTACATGCACACGTACTCGCTGCTGAGACTAATGAAAGCTATGAGTCTGTGCTGAAACCTAGAAATCACGTCCGATATTTTCTTGCCTCGTCTTCTGAAGCCACAAGCTTTTGATACTGACCACAGATCTTGGAAAACTGAGGGGTTAACTACATTTCTATTGTATTATTTTCAGTAAGAATTTCAGGAGTTTGATGCTCTTCTTGTGCTTAGGACTTCTCAAACAAATACACACAGAATATGTGTGAATTGGAATACATTTGTAATTGTAAGTGTGGTTAAAAATATTCAGTTGTGCTAGTGCAGATCTAATACTGTATTGTTTCATACTGACGTGCTGCATGATATTCAGTAGTATTCACATGTGTTTAGGGCAGTGACTGAATTTTTCATTATGATCTGTAGTGCCAGTGGTTGTGTAAAAGCCTGTCTTACCTTTCTTGTTTCTGAGGTGTTTTTCTTTCCACTGTGGCACTGGAGATAGTGGTAGAGCATGCTAAGTTTCTTCCCAGAGATTGTAGGGCGGACTCATCAGCATAGGTGATGTAAATAGCCACGAAGAAAAACGTTATTTCTAAACTTAATGTATCCTATTTCCTAGGAATCCTTAATGAACCCAGTTCTGCTCCTGTCTAAATGAGCTCTTTCAGTGCTATTCTCTATGTAAGCATTTTCTTAGTGTTAAATGCAATTACCTCAGAATTATCGTGAAAAAAGAGTATTTATACCTTCTGGAAAGTGGGGATAATTTCCAATAATGTGTTCTGTCATTTAATAGAGAAGTCTGCTCTTTGGATGTAGTTTTAGCAGCATCCTATGCAAATGCAACATTATGTTAGATGACCATAGTATAGTGAATGCCTTATAGACAGAGATCTGTTGAATTTGCATGTACTCTACACATGTGCAAATTACACTTCCTAAGGTGTCTTAGCAATACAATCTTGTACTAGGCAGATTATATAATATTAGAGCTGCTTCAAAAGCAATGCCTCCCATTTTATTACATTGGCCCACCACATCAGAGGTGGGTATTGGTGTAGCAGCAGAGGCTGAACCTTCCTGACAACATCCTGTTAAATTTTGTTGCCATGTGACAGATGGCAGCAGAAGGACATTCAAGTAAAATGGCATCTAATGTGAAAGTGCTTATGAAGCAAAAATGCGTCACTGAATTCCTCTCTGTGGAAAACATTGCACCTATTGACATTATTTCATTTCTGAACATTTTTGGAGACCAGACAGTGGTCTCCAAAAGTGGTCTTAGAGGCACAGCCTCTAATAGCCATAATAGAACGATGTGCACTGTTTTCTGGGATAGGAGAGGGGTGATCATTATGGATTTCCTGAAGTACAGAAGAAACATAAGCTCTGACTTATACATTGCTGTCCTGAATAAGCTGAAAGCTGGAAATTCTAGAGCCAGGCCAGAGAAAAACACAATTTTCTCTTGCAGCACGATAACACCAGGCCCCACAGCAGTTTGAAGACCGTGGAGCACATAGCCAATCTTGGCTGCACTGTCCTACCCCATCCACCATATAATACCTAGATCAATATAAGATCCATAGAATCTGAATTCAGACTTGTACCTGGTCAGACTGATGAAAGGCAGACTGCGTAGGCAACATTTTCCTAGCAAAGCCACTGTTGTAGCTGCTCTGAAACAGCAGGTCACCTCTGCCAGTGCAGATTTTTATGAGCGTTGTATGCAGGCTCTTGTTGATGGCTAGCAAAAATGCATCGCTAATGGTGGCGAAAGCGTTGAAAGAACAGTGCTTTGTCCCTGAGAATTTCCTCTATTAATTAGTGTTATTGTATCTTAGTATCTGTTGTAGTTGCCATGCAAATAATTAAGTGAAATTACTTCTAGAGTAACTAACGTTGTAAAAACAAACAATAATTACCGGATTGTCACGTTATGTATTGGTGATGTTCCTCCACTGAAGGGTAGAGGGAAAGAGACTTCCTATTGCCTGTTAGAACTGTACTAGTTGACTATTCTTTTTTTTTTTTTTCTCTAAAGAACTGTGCCTTTAAAAATCTTTACAGTGTGACAGAATGTGACAGCACGACTTCTAATTCATCTAATGTTTTGAAGTTAGTTAATAACTCTAACAAAAGTAGTTACAGATGAAATTGCTGGCAATTTGTAGCCCTAATTTTGTTGTTTCAAGAAAACCTTTTTGGGAATAGTGTTTTTATTTGCTAAGTTGTTAAGTTGACTTTACAACATACAAAGAATGAACCACGCTATTTATCTACGGTTTTAGCACTAATTTATTTTGGTTTTGGCTAATTTTCTCCATTTTTTTCTTGAAACTAGAAACATATCAGAATTTTCTTCTAAATTTAGATATTTCTTTAAACTCTAAAACTCTCCCTTTTTTTTTTTAATGAGAGTTACATAACACTGTTCTAGCTACATTCATCTTTGGTGACTGTGAAGCATTAATAATGATGAGAACTTGTGTTAAAATCTGGAGGTGTATATATGCATATGTTTTTTTAAAACTGATGTCTTACTTATAGGGAACTCTTTATTTCCCTTTACACTAAATTAACTCGTCATTATGTTTAGGATGTTTTGGTAGCACTATATTATAACAAAGACAGGAGAAAATTGAAGGTGATTGTACTTGTTTTTTGTTGGATAAATGGTTTTTGTATGAATTACTCAGCATCCCATCTGTTTGGTTTACTGTAATAAGTTTCATTTTATGAGCACTGAAGAGCTTTGTCTTTTATTGTATGGTGATGTTTTTGAACAGTTTGTATCATTTGCTGCTCGTTCTGGTGTGAGCAGCACACTGACATTAGGTTGATTCTTTTCCTCGTTGCCTTTGCTTGTCGTGTATCAAATGGCAGCCAGAGTATCACAGGAAGGGCGAACCATTCACGCAAGCGTGTGAGCCATAAAGCAGTCATTTAACCCTTAAGCTTTCAGATACTTTCTGTCTGGGGATGCAAGGTAGTTGTTAATCACATCTTATCATATGCATGCCTATGGATACGTACTGTTTTGTTCAGCATTTCCAATAGTAGGGTTGCTTTTACTGACCTTTGATTGAGGTTATTATACAGTACCGACTTGGAATAGCAGATAGCTGTATGTTTAACTTTCCAGTAGGAACATCTTTGAGAAAAATACCGTTTTACTCTGAAGTAACTGTTATCTGTATCCCTATCTATTTGTTAAGCACAACTTTTTGGTCTGTTCATCATACTGCGGAACATAAATGTGTGTGTGTGTGTATATATATATATATATATATATATATATATATATGTAGTTCTGATTTTGTCCCCGTTTATACAAAAAACATACTTGTTTCGAATGAATCTGGTGGGAAGTTGCCTCTGTGTCCAGTTCAAGACAATGACTGCCTCCTGTGAAGGCAAAAGAGTTGTTTCAAGTTCTAAACTGAGCTGTGCTTCTAGAAATCTCTCAGCTCTTTAAATTGACTGGATTAAAACAAGGTTTGTGGAACTGTGTTGCAGTGGTTGTCCCCATGGTGCGCCTGTTTTACTCAGGACACAGTGATGAGCAGGTAGTTAATACATCTGCAAGGAGAAGGAGTTGTGATTTGGCAAGTGTCTAAGCGTTTCACTTGTATAAGGAGCGGATGAATGTATCTTTCCAATAATTAAAGTGAAATATTAAAAGCCCGATTTCCTCCTTTTATTTAATGCTTTGGTGTTGTTTCTTTCCCCTTTAAATTCTGAACTGATTATTTGAGGGAAAAGTTTTTTTCTTTTCCCTCTCCTTCTTCCAAATATCAATTAATTTTTAGTTTTTGTGGAGCATGCTGACAATGTGACACAACTCCCATCACTGTTAGCGACATTTTAAGCTTTTTCTCTGCTGTGGATTGTTGTCAACACTTGTCTTTTCTTGACATGGGTGGTGGTTCTGAGTCACTGGAACATTGCTGTACCAGTACACTTGTGCTGACAGTGCACACCTTTCATGAGGAGCTGCACTGATGTGTAAATGGTAAATAGAGCACATCACAAGGAATTTTTCCCAAGATCGCACCACTTTCCAACACAGTGTATTCTGGAGAGGTAGAACAACCCGTTTTCTTTGCTGACCTTAGTCTCCCGCGTTCTTTTTGCACGTGGGAGGTAGCTCAGCTTATCTGGATGTGTTTGCATCTGAATGAGCTGCTTCTATATATATATATAATATGATATATATATATATATATATATAATATGATATATATATATATAACATATGATATATCTATAATATATGATATATACTAAGAGCCTACAGTCTCAATGAAAGCTCCTCTGAACAGATCCCCCAAGGTACTTACAATCAGTGTTTTTAAAACAACTCAGCAAAAGCACTAGGACATGTGGTCTTGGATGTATTTTCCTTTCGTTTTGAGTTCTCTGAAAACATATTCAGAAGCCGTTATGCAATTAAACTATAAGTTCATCTCTTGATTTTCAAGCCTGTGTTGTCTAAATAATAGAACTGTGGAGCTCCAATAGCCCAAGATTGTGTTATTGATAAATGTCGATGAAGATCTGAAAGAATGGACTACTAAAGAATCTTGAATATCACTTGAGGCTAAAGATATTATGTTGCTTCTCCTTTTAAGAAAGAGCCAACAAGCCACCAATTGATTAGAGTTGGGATCAGTTTGAGTGAATATGTTTTGAGATTCAGCTCTGGAAGTAAAACATAGTTCGTTAACTCTGAGTCATTTTTACAGTGTTCTTTCTTCGAGCGGTATTTATCATCAGAGTGCAAGAGAAGTTCTATTTTAGGAGAGGGTGAGATTTTAATTTACATTGAAAGCTTCCTTGATGAATAAAACAGTTCACAAAATAAAATTAAAAACAAAGTAAAATTAATATTAATGCTTCCTTTAGAAGAATGTTTTAAAAATGCAATAGTTTGGCCTATGTTTTTATACCTCCAATGAATGCAGCATCATACTGCTTAGTGCAAATGGGAATTCAAACTTAAAAGAGTGATTGTGGATGGAACTGTCCTCATCTTCGTTCTCACAATTGCAAGCCCCAAATGAGAGGCAGTTTCGAAAAAAGCATTGCATCTCCAGTTCTGTAAGCATGCATCCATAGGAAAAAAAAAAAGATTGTGCATATCATTACACACAGAGTAACAGCAGTCGGTCACGTTCAGCAGCATATTTATTGCACATCTTGGTAACTTTTCATCTGAAGACAGTTGCTGTGTTTATAAGCATACATAAAATTAACAAGTGATTGAAAATGAGTCTTAAATGCAGTGTCAAGAAGGTAGTTGTATCTGAAAGTAGAAGCTAAACAAATTCAAACTGGAAGCAGAGTGGACATTTTTACTGGTCAGTTTGAGTAATTCTCTGGGGATAAAAAAGAATTTAGTGTCACCTGAAGTTGAAATAAAAAATACATGAAAAATAATAGTAAAAAGTTTGCTCAACCATCAAGACATTAGCTCGATGCGGTAATCATTAGCTGTAGTTCTATAACCTGTATTAGACTATTTCATCACAGTAGTCTTCTGACTCTAAAGTGCATGAATCTGTGCATTTCAACCTGACTGCGGTTTAAATAATGGAAGATGTAATGAAGTGAAATACACAAAGGACCAATTTACTTTGTAGCTCTGTAAACTGCAGAGCTAGAGTATTTTTCTTTATGTGGCATATAATTTAGACATAGTAATAAATCAGGTAAACTTTTGAATATGTGCAGGTGGCTGTGTAGAAAGATTGATTAGCTCCTGGGCCTTCTTGAGACACAGATTCTTGATTATTCCTTGAAAATAATAGACTTATTCTTCTCATGTATCGTGGAGTAGATTAGTGTTGCCGTGCTCTGGGTATAGGTTGATACAACTCTCTGCTTGTCTTTTCTCGTTCCAGATGCTCTGTACGATGTAATCACTGTGGGAGCCCCAGCAGCACATTTCCAGGGATTTAAGAACGGTGGTCTCCGAAAACTGCTGAGTAAATTTGAGGCAGAGAGGCGAAAGTAAGTATTTCTGTAATGGCTAAGCAAGTATTGTTAAATCTGCATTATAATGTTAGTTACAAAACAGTTTCCCCCTGTTTTCGTGGATGCATGAAAAAATTAATATCTATTACTACTGGGTAAGCATTCATTCATAAAACTACAAGACTACAAAACTGAAGCACAGTTAACCTTCAGTGCCAAGATATATTTTGGATACAAATGCTAAGCATTGAAATTTTCTTGCCACGTTTCAGGGAGCCTGAGGAATACCTATGCTAGAAAATGTGCTGTTCAAAGTGAGACATCTCTTCTGTATTACTTGAGCTCAAGTAGAAAATGGCTATAGACAACTTTTCAATAACGAAACAGTAGCTTGTGGTACGATCTTCATTTCTGACAGCTTTGGGCATGTGAGCCGAAACACTTCTCAGCACCCCTGTGAAATATATCAGAATGTATTGGTTTGTCTTCATAAAATTAAAATGGCACTAAGTAAAGGTAAAGGCCTGAACTAGGATATCCGTTTGCTTTAAGTTAAACCTTAAGCATGTACAGCAATGTTAGTTGAATGTCTTGCTAACAAAGTATTATCCACATATGTTTTTTGCAATGGCTGCCAAGTTTTGAGCAGGCAGAGCTCTCACTGGCAGCACTGTCTTTGGGGTGGGCGACTGTGTTACTATCCGTTCAGATTCTTCACAGAAAAAAAATCTGAAGTCACACTAATAAACTTATATTTGAACACTGACAATGGTGGAGTGCAGCTTCTAGCAAATTGCTTGCCAATCCTGAAGAAAAGATCACTTAGCATATGAATTTTCACAAGACAAAACAAAGAAACTTCCGAAAGTCGACTTAGTTTCTGTCTTTGAGGAGCTTTCAAGGGAAATTCAATTAGGCCAAAAAGTGACTGGAAGCAAGCCCTGAATATAATTTTGCTTAGCTGAAAATTTAAAATTAAGGGTATTTTAAATAGGTACTTGTAAGGGCCATTGTCATTCTTACTATGGCCAAAATTATTTTGCTGTGACAATAACAGGTTTTGTATGTGATTGTTTATTTAGCCTCACTGGGATGCTTTGAGGATGCTTAGCATTTCCGGGGGCAGACTTCACAATTTGAATTTCCTGTTCTACTGTTGAAGCAGCTTTTCTGAAGCTACAAGTGAAGAAAGAAAAGTGATACCATGAGATATCAGTCAGAATATAAAATGAGGAGGAAAAAATGCATTTTTAGCTGCCTTTTCCTCTAGGCTAGCTGAGCTGCAGACCTGGGGAAAGATGTGGCAAGAGATCATTCCTCAATCTGCTCCTGGTAACTTTCAAGACATCACTGTCAGTGCATGTGATGGTATGTCTTGCATGTCTTTGACCTTCAGGCTGATTAGTAGAACAGAGTACTGAAATATTCAACATTGTCAGCCTATCAGAAAATATTCCCTTCTCAAATCTGGGCTTGTGGAATTAACAGACAGCAGGAAGCCTTAACTGGTAGCAAGGTTATATCACCCTTTACAAGATGTGATTGCATTAGCAATTGCGAGATTAAAAACCATGTGTAATAGATGTATCTGTTTGAAGATGGGCGTGGATTTCTATTACATATAATACAGATCACTGGGCAGACCAAACAGAAGAGAATGTTTTTTGAAATAATATTTATGAAAAATGCAGTATTTAAATGATTTTTTTTCCTTTTGATAATTGCAAGCAGGTAAGACTTGAAAATAAAAGTAAATATCATTTTAAATAAGCAAGGATCCCAGTTTCAGTTGAAAAACTGAAAAGAAGTTGTAAAATAGCTCTTAATCATGTGTGGTCTGAAGTCAGTCCTATTGCATTGTAACCCATTCATAATCTGCACAATTCTGTTTCTTCAGCAAAGTTGCAGACAAGTGGCTTCAGTACTATAAAAATCAGGCGTGTCTTCAGTGCACGTCTGCGGATTGTCTGTTCTTCTGGTAGCTATCAGTGAACTTCATAACTAAGAACAGGAGATACTTATAAGTCATATTTCACTATGAGATCATTTAAATTCAAATAACTGAAATGTGCTAGTTAGGGTATGCTAAATCACAGCAAAGCAATTAAAATAATGTTCTGTGCATCATATACATTTATCTTAGGGTTTATTTCATGATTGGTTTTTCTTTTTTCCTTCTTTTTAGCTGAGAGAGAAAGTAAATCGGTTGTTCAGATTCAGTCTTCTGTCAGCCTGATAATTACTTCTCCTTCCAGCAAATGGAAGGACTTGTCTTCTGATTGGTCTAGATGGCAAAACAAATATAGAGAGCTCAGTTGTGCAGCAACAGTGAAGGCAGATGTTGTGTAAGTTATACGCGTTACGCCTCTCTGTTTTAAGGGTTCGTAAATCACTTTCAGGGTACGTTAGGGATGTTTTTTCTTCTAATCATAAGTCTAAGAAAATATGTTAGTGCCTGTTTACTAATCATCAAGAAAAACAGGAATGTCCCAGCTGCAGTAGATGTTGTAATTCACTATGGTTTTTTTACATGGATTCTAGCAAGGTCTTCATAACTGATCCCTCATTAAATTAACAAGAACTTAAAGAAGTAATAAAAATCTGTTGGGTTTTTTTTTGTATATTTAGGGTTTTTTTTGGCCATAATTATTTTGAGTTTGAACTAAGAGGATTTCTTGTTTGACGAGGTTTAGATAAATGACTTTCCTAACTTCTTTCACTAACTTACTTGCCAACAGAGGTTTTATTAAAGCTGAGGTCTTCAGGGTTTCTATACATAAATTTCATAACATTCAACCATTTCTATTCTGTGAGGAATCCGAAATAAAATTGCTTCATAGGAAAGCCCAGAGATATTAAAATAACGATGATTTGTGTTTGGTCTAACTTGAGCCTTGATTCCCAAGGGAAATCACAGCTTGTAGTGTATAGTACTTTGCACAGAGATGTTCTTTGGTCATTTTCTCTCTCTTTTCGTATGTATGTTTATGTAGATACGTATATGTAAAATAACATCAGCCTTCATGGAGATGAACATTTTTTTTAATACTGACCAAATGTACGTATTAAGGTTGTTGGAAGTGTTGCAGAGAAACTTCCGCAGTCCACGTGCTATTGATTGGTATAAACATCACATCTGAATGTTTTTCAGCCACTAGTCTCTCTGAACAGAGCTGCTTGATGCATTTCCTTAAGGAGGCCTGAAAGAAGGGAACTGTGGACTGGAAATTGAAGAGAAGGAGAGGTTTATAGATTCTTGCATATGAAAGGTCAGAAAGGATTTCCTTTGGAAAGCAAGAAACTATATCGGGGCTCCAGGTGTGATGGGAAGAGAGCAGATTCATGAGTTTGTCAATCTTTCTCTGTGGAACAAAAGAGGAGGATAACATGTCTTAAACGCTGTCTTCTGGATAGGATGTGCACTTCAGTAGGTTGCCAGGAAAAGACTACACTGAAAGATAACGTTTACTCTGTTTTGTGGTGAAGTATTATAGCTTTTGTCTTCTGCTAAAATTCTTGCTCAGTTACCCTGGGATAAGGTTCTTCCCTATGTTAAAGATGATTTTATCTTTCCATTAGCTCAAAGATGCAAAAAAAGCAATTTGAAGAAATACAGAAGGCTTTTCCTAGATAACCATGCTCTTCCCTGATTATCTTCCTAGAAAGATTCACTTTAAGCATGAATTCTGCTTAGGTCAGTGGAGGGCTGATGGAGGGTATCGTGATTGCTGTTTTCACTGAGACATATGTCTCATTATCGATTAAAAGCAGTTATTTAATGTTACTTCAAGAGGAATTAAGAGGTAATAGGAGAGCAGCAAGAGAAGCCTTGTGTGTACAGGCTTGTTCGTTGCTTCAAGGATAGGATTGATTGAAATTCAGATTACATCAATGAAAATAGATTGAATGGAGACGGTGAATTTCCAAATCGTCAAGAGAATCTTTAGGGAATAAAAAACAAACAGAAAAGCCATTACTGGGACATCTAATCTCTCTCAAGACTGCTTTCAAGACCTGAGTAGTGATCATATGGTTTATTTTCTCATGCAGTAAATTTTCCTGTTTCTTTTTACTTTTTCTTTCTTTTTTCTTTTTTCTTTTTTCTCTTTTTTCTTTTTTTTTTTCTTTTTTCTTTTTCTTTCTTTTCTTTCTTTTCTTTCTTTTCTTTCTTTTCTTTCTTTTCTTTCTTTTCTTTCTTTTCTCTCTTTTCTCTCTTTTCTCTCTTTTCTCTCTTTTCTCTCTTTTCTCTCTTTTCTCTCTTTTCTCTCTTT